ACTCAAAACACAGCAATTATGCAACACTGAAACTGATTTATATATATATATATATATATATATATAAATCAGTTTCAGTGTTGCATAATTTTTCTCTGAATCTGACCATGGTTCAGACTGACAGGACAGATCATGGTCTATGTGTTGCTACTGAGTAGTACAGGTTTATTTAGTGAGCAGATTTCAGATGTAGTTGAGCTTGTTTCTTCATCAGAACAGATTTGGAGAAATTTAGCATTACATCACTTGCTCACCAATGGATCCTGTGCAGTGAATGGGTGCCGCCAGAAACCAAACAGAGTCCAAACAGCTGATAAAAACATCAATAATCCACACACCAGTTGAATCAATTAACACTGTGAAGCAAAAAGCTGCTTATTTATAACAAATCCATCATTAAGGGTTTTTGACTTCAAACAGTTGATTCTGGCCAAAATATGAGTCCGTAATCCTTAATAACTCTTCCTCTAGTGAAGTCCATCCCGTATTGTCCTCACACATCAAAATCTACCAACATATTTGTTAAGAACTGTTTTGGACTGTTTTCACTTCTAAACTTTGTTTGATCTGTGCATATTTCTCTCCTGATTCAGATGAGACAACTTTTCACTGGACAAAGCAACATTATGGATAGAGGACTTATATTTTAGCTGGAAGCAATGGTTTGAAATTAAAAGCGTCTCAAAAGATGTTTACTACAAACAGGCAGCTTGTGGGTTACATTATTTGTGGATTGCTTGTAGATGTTTCTATCATCTTCTATCAAAGATGTATCATTTTTCTGATGGCACCCATTCACTGCAGAGGATCTATTGGTGAGCAAGTGATGTAATGCTAAATTTCTCCAGATCCGTTTCGATGAAGAAACAAACTCATCTGCTTCTTGGATGGCCTGAGGGAGAGTAAATTGCCAACGTTTTTGTGTGAACTATTTCTATAATTATAAATATATTTGCACACAAATATTCCTTGCTCAAACCTTAAACTGTATTTTTATTATTATACAAATATTATTGTGTCTCTTGACACTTCACATTTGCCTCCTTTACAAAATTAGTTTTGGCAAACTAGTGGAAGTAGTTTAGAGCTAGTTCTAGTAGTTTGGAACTTTTATTGCTGCTTTCTAATGTAAAGTTCAAGTAGTTATTTGTTTGTGGAAGTGAGTTCATGGTGAAGTCACTGGAGACCAGTGTTGGTCCATGTGTAATTTGAACATATCCTCTATTGTCGACCTCCACTTGCAGTGTATTGTAGTATGAGACAAGGCTTAAAGGAAACCGAATCACCATCTCCTCTTGTTCTCAGTCTCTGGCTTCAGTCCATCTTGATGGTTCTGCAGACATGAATGCATTAGACTCATTGCTACTAACTACTAGCAATGAGTCTAATGCATCACTAACTACTAGTTAGTACTACTAACTGCTACTAACTACTAGTTAGTAGTTAGTAGCAGTCATGGCCTAATGGTAAGAGAGTCGAACTTGCAACCCGAAGGTCATAGGTTTTAGTCTTGGTACCGGCAGGGATTGTAGGTGGGGGGAGTGAATGACCAGTGCTCTCTTCCACATTCTATACCACGACTGAGGTGAGACACTTGAGGCACCGAACCCCCAGCTGCTCCCCAGGCACCGCAGCAAAAATGGCTGCCCACTGCTCCGGGTGTGTGTGTGTGTGTGTGTGTGTGTGTGTTTGTTCACTACTCACTGCTGTGTGTGTGCACTTGGCTGGGTTAAATGCAGAGCACATATTCCGTGTATGGGACACCGTACTTGGCTACACGTCTCTTTCACTTCACTACTAATGTTGTCACTGAGTCGATTTCACTGAGGAGTCCATTAACAGACCATAACTCATTTTATATAGCACTGATATTTACAGTTGCTTGTAGTTTGTACATGTGAACACTAGGTGGTGCTGTTTCTGAAATTTCACATAATGGTGACTAAACCACATGAACTGACAGAAACATGACCTAAAGCTTGCTGCTGTGTTATTTATATGTGGCTCATCTTCATTGTCTCCTCAGAGGTCACGGTCCCTGTGAGTATGCAGGAAGTGGCCGGCTACATTGAGAAACAAGTGGCGTATTTATCAGGTGGGGTTTCCAGTTTCTGTTTTTGGAGGCGTGAAGTATGAGGATTGTATACATGTAGATTAATGGCTTGTATAAACATGTCAGATAAATTTGGAACAGTGCCACAGAATTCGTGCTTGACTGAGAAACTGATAATTTGATGTTTATTTGAATTCCAGGGGGATGTGGTGAGGACTCTAGTGTCATCATCACTCTCCCAGAATGCTCTGCTTTCAGCGACATTCCTGAAGAAGCTCTGGCCAAAGTTCTTTCATACCTCACACTGATCCCGAGGTTTGTGTCTAATATATACAAGCCTCTCCATCTCACTGCATTGCAGTACAGCAACAGTTCATTATGCATTCTCTTCACATAAAGCCTTGTAATAGCTCTTACACAAATTGAGCTATTCAAATCAATGTATAGGTAGCGTGCTAAATATGCAAATATCTTTGTAGTTATATTGTAGACACAATACAGTAAGGATATTTTAGGATGAAAGAATATATTTATCCCTCCGTACAATGCAAACAAATGCAAGTGTACATTTACATACATACGTTCAGATATTCTGGTTGTTTAAAATGTCATGTTCCTAACCAAGAGCAAATGCAGTTACTGTGATACATGATACACTCCACATGTTTCCAGAACACGGCAACCTGGGGTAAAATTTATCATCATTTTAGACCGAAGATTGGATACATGGGCCTCAATCAAAACGGCATTGGCAAGGATTGCGGTAAGAGATTGTAATATATTTTATTTATAATAATTTATTTATATTTAATGCAGAAGTGTGAAAGGTGTTCTATTGTTTTAATTAATTCATTTACAATTTTTAAAATTATTATTATTATTTATGGTTTAATAAAAAAAATTTGTAAATCTTTAGTACTTTTTTTTTAAAATATACTATTTTCTACCAAAAAAAGTATATAAAATTACCCTTAATAACAAAAAGTATATATTTGTACAAATAACATTAATTTTTGACTCATAAATATCAAGCTGTTTGTGGAGTTACTCTATATGACTTGAATAAAACACTAAACTAAATATTTTATATCCTTAGAAAACATAATGGCCTTGACACACGATCACAAAAGTGTGAATTTCAGCTTTTAAAGGATTTTTAATCATATCAGGACGTTTCGGTTTAAGCCACACAAACATGCATACATACATAAATACTTTTAATTTAAAGTGACAACATCTGCAACTTAAAAGAGGTATATTTATTTTTTAGTGAATTTATTGTATTATTGAATAGCTTAATAGATCCAGGGAAAACGTTAAGCTTCGTTGACTCTTATATGTCCTTTGGGGATGGAATGCATCACGCGTCTGTATTTACTGTGTGCTGAACCGGCCTTGTCGCTGTCCGCGGTGCTGAAGTGGATGAGCGCAGTTGCAGTACAGCATGCGCTCACAGCCCAATTCTCTGAGCTGTAGGCTGAATAAATAACTAAATGCGGCACCTCTAACTGAAGTTTGCGTTTAAAAACAGCTTGTTTGAAACCCGAGCTCACTGCGAGGCAACTGGAATGCATGAGTTAGCACAAACCATGCGCAGGTTTTTACATGATGACGCTCTTGGGGCGAGGGAGAGGTGAGGAGACCGCAGGAGAAACGGCGCTGCCACCCTCCCGACGCTGCGGCGATGAATCCTGCAGACCGTCCACTGCACCGGGCACCGGTCTGCCACAGCAGGATGGACGAGGTCTTAAAACATAACCATAAAACATCGATCGCTATGAGTGAGCGAAACTACAGGCGAGGACTTCCGCGGACCCGCCGCTCTACGGTAGTGTGTCTGGAGTAGTTTCGGTAAAGAGTTGGACTGAAGTTTGGATGAGCACAATGCGGCAGCGCGAGCTCGTAGCGGTATACTGCGGCGCAACGGACGGCTTTAGCTTAGTCATCCGACCTGGATAAATGCTAGCGGAGGCTTTATTAATGTAACATACAAACAAATGTATTATCATGCATATGAGCGATATCCGAGTGAATATTTTCGCAGATGATGCTATTGTTTACAAATACGTAAGGACGAGTTAATGTCAAGCGTGGTGTCCTTACTGTGAACTGTGTGCTATAGGATGATCTATCGTGAAGTCCTGTTTCTGTTTGTCAAAGTAATAAAAGCGACTAGTCAGGTTTGTTTCAAATACTTATGTATCTCAATGTGATTCAGCTCAGCTGCTATGATGAATAAACTACATTTATAGTAGCTGTCACTGGAAGCAGCTAATCAGGCTGGTCATCTCAATGTGTAGTTAAGTGTTACTAGTTTGAGCCTTGTCTCATCAGTTTGATTGACAGCTAGTTGTTGTCTCTGCAGATTCATTGTCAGTTGTCAATGTGATTGATGGGGATGATAGTACAGGACATACAGTAACAGACTAGATTCAGTTACATGAATAATATTCAAACGTCAAACTTAGAAGACATTTATTGCTTTTTTTTTTCTTTTAATTGAGTTGCATGTATTGTAGGCAGGGTTTGAAATTAACACCCGCCAACCCGCCGAATGCGGGTAAAAATCAGCTGTGGCGGGTAACGCTGTCAAATCACTTGGCCTTTTTTTTCATAATTTATTTGTTTAATTTTTTTGGCTAGTAGAAATTATGAATGGCCGGTAACTTAAAAAATGTAGTAACCAAATTGGCTGGTGAGTGAAAAAGTTAATTTCAAACCCTGATTGTAGGCATCCCATATACAGTGGAGTCCAAAAGTTTGAAACCATATTGAAAATCTGGGATTTAAACCTGGAAATAAACAGAAAACTTTGAAAATGGAAACAACGAGACATGAAATGAATTAGCAATATGATTCTGCACCATTTCTAAGTGACTAAACAAATTATTAAAATTGTGAAGTTGACCATGTAAACTCTTTGTACAGATGGTCAAATGTTCTTGGAGAATATTTGCTAAAAGTATAACTTAGGCAACCTTCGTAGCAGACATCCTTAACTCCTTTCCGCTGTCTGTTGTTCTGTTGTTGGTGTTTCTTTGTCTGAATATGGCACTTATCACATGCTGTGGTATCGGCGTTTGGTATCGGGGCATTTTAACGAGTACGAGTACGAGTACAGGAGACCAGTATCGGGCCCGATACCGATACCAGTATCGGTATCGGTGCATCCCTAGTATAGATACATTAATGAAATACACAGAAATATCACATTATACAAGATAGTCTCTGTGCTTTTCACAGGCGATTGAGAGTTTTGCAGTTATGGTTAAGGACATTGCTCAGATGCTGCAGGCGTTTGGAACAGAGCTGGCTGAGACACAGTTATCAGAGGAGTGCAGTGCTATTGAGTTTCTCCTGCTGTCCCACACAGAGAAATACAGGAGACTTAAGGTACAGCTCAATGAAACACTCAAGTGTAGAGAATCCTCTCACTTTCCCCTTATTGATTATTGCTGGTCTTTAATAACTGTTTTAGTAACATCAAAATTTCAGCTTAACATTTATATAAATATACACTACTATTTAAAAGTTTGGGGTTGGTAAGTTTTTTTTTTTTAATAGCAATCTCTAATGCTTCTCAAGGATGCATTTATTTGATCAGAAATACTGTGTACGTTTTTTTTTTTTAATAGCAATATCTAATGCTTCTCAAGGATGCATTTAGTTGATCAGAAATACAGTAAAAACAGTAATATTGTGAAATATTATTACAATTTAAAAGTGCAATTTCTATTTTTATTATATTTAAAAATGTAATTTATTCCTGTGATGGCAAAGCTGAATTTTCAGCATCATTACCCCAGTCTTCAGTGTCACATGATCCTTCAGAAATCATTCTAATATGCTAATTTGGTGCTCAAGAAACATTTATTATTATATTATACATATTATTATTATCAAATAATAACAAATAAATTGTAACAAATAAATGTCTTTACTGATGCATTTAATGCAACCTTGCTGAATAAATGTTGGTTTATTTATTTGTTTTTTTTCTTGTTTAATATAAAAATTTCTGTGTTTAAAGAAATATAAATATTTATTTTGCAGTAGTCTCTCAATTAAGGATAGTAGAGCTGCATGTATAGTAATTCTAAAATGTTTTGCAAAATTACAAAATAATTAGCAATAGTTTAGAATCTCAGAAAAGGACAAAAAAAATCTTGACAGGACAATCTATTAAACAGAGTGCCTGTAACAGTCATTTTCATATCAGATTAAACATGGCATCTACCCTAACTAAAGGAAAGCCTTTAAAAAAGTACCAAACTTAGGGGAATAAACTATAATTAGGGTACACAGAGCATGAGAGTACAAAAGCTTTCAGTCTGCAGTCACTTTTAGCTCTAGTCTTGTATTTTCTTGTGTTTTTCTGGCCCCTTTGGGCTCTGGCTGTTGTTTTGTTCCATGATTCTGTGATGTCAATGACAGCAGAACACAGTGCAAAGTGTTTTTGTTGTTATTCATGGGTGAAGGATGCCATCAGATCTGTGATGAGAGAGGGGCGGCAACTGCTCTCTAACCTGGAGACTTCAAGGAAGGAAGGGGATGCCGACACGTGCTGGGACATGACACAGGACTGGGATACCATGCAGAGGTGTAGAGTTTGTTCCTGTTTATTTGAGAGAAAAAAAACAAAAAAACAATCTGCATCCCAAATACACATCATGTTTTTTTTATTTCCAAAAGGATGTGAACTTGAAATCATGCTTTCTGACATGTCCTAACTGCAGGCTGCTGGCTCAGCTCACAGATATGGAGATGGCGTTTGATGGGTTCTTTGACAAGCACCACCTCAAACTGCAGCAATATTTGCAACTGCTGAGATATGAGCACAGTTTTCAGGAGGTGAACTGCTTTTCTGTCCCTAACATTGAAAATGGCGTCTGATTGTTTTATGCATGAAGACATTCTGACGGCTCACAAACAAATGCTTTATACAAAGCCGTTGCTGGCATTTGATCATGAAATGATTCTGATTGTTCCCACCTATATAAGACTATAATAAAAATTTTGATTTTGATATATGACACGACCAGGCGATAAATAAACATGAATAAGTATTAAACAATATATAATGTATTATATATATATATATATATATATAATAATACAGCACCCAAATACAGCGCATGCTGTGTAAAACCAATGGTGTGAAATGCAAAAATAAATAAATGCTAAAAAGCTGATCGTTTTATTAAAATAATACTATGTAGCATTGATTATTTAATTAAAGATTCTGGAATGTTGCCCTGCTTTTCAGTTTGGTTCTACACCCCTGCAAAAAAACTGGCAGTTTTTTAAGAGCAAAAGTAAAGAAAAGAGAAGGATATTTTTTCCTATTATAATAGGAGTCAATGAAAGTATGTGATCTAGTTTTCCTAACATTCTCTTTCTGTCAGATGGAGTACTCTTTAGAGAAATTAAGAGCACAGGAAAGGAAGATAAGCATCACAGGAGAATCCCTGTCCCAAACAGACCAGAGTGTCAGAGAGCTGGACAGTCTGAAAAAACATGCGCAGGTAGTTGCATTATGCCTTCCTGTTCATGTTATATTGTTAGTCACAAATATGCTGCTATTTCTGACAGCATTGTGTGTGTTTCAGGAGGAGATGAGTCGGGCTCAGGTTCTTATCCTGCATGGGCATCAGCTGGCTGCTGGACTCCACTATGCCATGGCTCTGATTATCCAGCGCTGCAATGAACTCAGACATCAGTGTGACACCCTGACCTCTGCCCTCAATACTAAACACAACTCCCTGATACAAGCACAGACCCTACTGCACTGCCTCGAAGAGGTGGGCTAACACATTCACTCCTTCTCTTTTTATAGTTTTTTTTACTATCATGAAAAAAATATATATATATATATATATATATACCTATAGATTTTTTTGTAGAGAATCCTCTCACTTTTCCTTTTATGATTATTTCTGATCTTTAATGGCTGTATTAGCAACATCACAATTTTTGCATGAATATACACTATTGTTTAAAACTTTGGGGTTTGTAAGATTTTTTTAATGTTTTTGAAAGAAGTCTCTTATGCTCATCAAGGCTGCAATTATTTGATCAAAACACAGGAAAAACAGTAATATTGTGAAATATTATTACAATTTAAAATAACTGTTTCTTATTTGAACATATTTTAAAATATGACTTCTTCCTGTGATGGCAAAGCTGAATTTTCAGCATCATTACTCCAGTCTTCAGTATCACATGATCTTTCAGAAATCATTCTAATATGCTGATTTACTGCTCAAGAAGCAGTTGTGCTGCTTAATATTTTTGTGGAAACCATGATACTTTTTTTCTGGATTCTTTAATGAATAGATCAAAAGAACAGCATTGATTTGCAATATAAATCTGAATCAAATAATAATTATAAATATTGTCACTTTTGATCAATTTCATGCATCCTTGCCAAATAAAAGTATTAATTTATTTAAAGGGGTCATATGATGCTGCTAAAAAGAACATTGGATTTGAGACTTTAGTCTTTGCAACTTTACAGATCTTCTTTATGCACCAAGAGCTTGTAACACTCTAAAGAGAAAGGAAAAAATGAAATCGCATCATATGACCCCTTTAAAAACAAGAAAAATCTTTGTTTGTTTTGCAGGCTCAGCGGTGGTGTGATGATGGCGCTTATCTGTTGGCCAATCAGCAGGTGGATAAATTCCAGTCTAAAGAGGGTGCACAGGCAGCTCTTCGAGGTATCGAGAAGTTCCAGGAGGCGGCGCCACTACTCCTCGGTGCAGGCGAGGATGTGCTCTTTCTGGAGTATGAATCTGTGCTCACTCCTTGTCTACAGGTAAATACTGACAGACTACTGAAATGAGACTAGGCCCAGTGTCAGTTGTTGACTGATGTGCTGTAAATTCATAGACATCCTTTTAGACAGTCATTTCAGAAATGTTGCTTCTGATGGATGTATTCGGACCCTCTCAATCTTAAATATTTGGTTATTCTAGGCTAAATATAAATGGAAACTCCTTACTGTGCTGTGTTTCAGGCTCATATAGAGAAGACATTTCAGAAGCATAGTTCTGTGCAGGCTCTGATTCAGTCCAGACGGAACTGCCTGAGGAAACTGGCAAACAAGCATGTCCGACCAATCCAACTGGTGGCTCCTCGTCCAGAGAACCCACCACGTGCAAAATCCCCCCTCTTCTCCCCCAAACATGGTATGTGGCAGTGCAATATTAATTTTGGCTCCAGTTATCCTCAATATTTTTCAGCCATGAGTTCTCACAATCTTATCAATCAATAATCCTTATTCATAAGACTTTGCACTAAATGTTTCATATCTGAGAGCTGAAGCTAGACAAAATTATTCTGTCATGTACATCACTTACTGCAGTACAAAAACGAAATCGTACACTTTAATGAGCTGTCAAGATGCCTGATCAAAGCTTGGTTTAAAGTGGATTGCATTGAGGTAATGACAAGAAATCCTACTGTAGCTACTATGTACCTTATCAAATGCACGCTGCACCTTTTTCCTAATAAATCCCTCTGGATAATGCAAACTTCCTGGGGAGTTGTCAAAAAAGGTGCATTTGCAATTCACATGCATTAAAGCCCTTTTGATCCTTATTAACTCATAACAAAGGCTTTTCTGTGACATATAGTCAAATGAATGCCTTCATGTAAATTAGGAAGCATTACCTTTTGTTTACCCCAGAATTTAAACCTTTATTGCATGGCTCTGTGGAATACTTGATTCTAATTGGTCAATAGTGGACCTCAGCTGTCAGATCCTTTTGTATAATGACCATTAAACTGTATATTTCACTAGTGACCATGGCAGTTGATACTGCTAAATTTGTATATGTAAATAATATATTACAGAATAAGATTATGAATTAGTTCATTCATTTTGAATTATATAATGGGAGAGAATAAAGAAGAGAGATTCAGTCTTCATGCATTCAGTATTCCTGAGAGATCTGAAGCACTTTAAGATGGAGAGATCAAGGGAGGAAGCCATAGAGACGTGCAGAGCTCACCTGACATGCTGTGATCTTCAGCACAGCTGGATAACAGCCCATCAAAAGTGATCTGACAGGAATGCAATGTAAAGTTGGATCTGTAGCTGAAACAAGAGATTTAAGGAGGATTTTATTCACCTACAGAGGTCATAAAATGGGATTGACCTCTGAATGACTTCCAAAGTCAGATCAAACTGATATTATGTTATGCCCAGTGCTGTCTGAATGTTTTTGATTATATGATTTGATTGCGCATAGTACTGTGGATGTCAACGTTTTGTGCTGCAGTCACTAGTCTGTAACTGCTTCATTTAAATATGCAACTTCAAAAAAATATTCTCACAGTTCTTGCTGATGCTGCACTTGTAAATGTTTTGAAACATACATACATACATACATTCATATTAATTCTGTGTTGTATCCAACTGCTTTTCTTGTATTGAATCAGATTTAAATTCCAGTTTAAAGTTCACCTTTGACCTCCCACTGCCAGGCAAAAGAACATCAAGGAAAAGCCCAAACTCCAGGAAGGTAACAGCACTTTTTCATTTGGTCTTTATAAATAAATTTGGGGGGTTCTTTTACTACCAAAAGTCTTAATTTACTACCAAAGTCGGAATATATACTACAGTGGAAAAGAATCAGCCCCCTTTAAAATAATCACATTTTGTTGCTTTGCGGACTGAAATGAAGACGGACACAGTTTTTGTTTTATTCAGTTGTAACATCCAAGTGAAAGATATAACACCAACATGTCAGAAAAAAAAATAAAAAACAGAAATCACTGAGTTGGAAAAATGAGAAAAATGACTTGTAAACTCAATGGCACACAAAGTCATTTGACTTTCAACTGTGATCAGCTCATTTTGATTATCTCAACATGAAAAGAGCTTTTCTGGATCATTTTAGTCCTTGGTAGTACAACTGAACAAACAATCAACTATGGGTGGCAAGGCACTGTCAAAAGATCTCCGGGAAAAATGCACCTTGAAGATTCTGAGGCAGATGAGACTAAAATTGAATTATTTGACACCAAACGATATGTCTGGCGGAAATCCAATACAGCTCACCATCCAAAAAACAACATTCCTACAGTAATATCCCATAAAGCCCCGTTCACACCAAGAACGATAACTATAAAGATAACGATATTAGCGTCCACACCAGCGAACGAGCTCGTTATAGCAGGATGGATTCTGATTGGCTGTCAGTGTTTTATCGTTCATCAGCTGGAAAAAAATCGTTTTGAAAGTGATTCCAACGATATCGTTTCTCTTTGTCTTTATCGTTATAGTTGTGGTGTGGACTCTGCTATTCTTTAATATTGAGAACGATTTTTAGAACTATATCTTTATCGTTATCTTTATAGTTATCGTCCATAATGGAGGTGTTTCTCTGCAGCAGGGACTGAAGCACTTGTCAGTATAGAAGGAAAAATGGATGGGGCAAAATACCGTCAAATTCTTGAGGAAAATCTGCTGCCCTCTGTCAGAAAGTTGTCAATGGCAAGAAGGTTTACCTTCCAACATGACCATGACCCAAAGCACACAGCAAAACTGAGCACACAGTGGTTGAAGGAGAAAAAGGTGAATGTCCTTGCATGGCCTAGTCAGAGCCCAGACTTAAACCCCATTGAAAATCTGTGGAATGACTTGAAGACAGCGGTCCACAAACGCTCAACATCAAATTGAACTGAACTTGAGCAGTTCCGCAAAGAAGAGTGGACAAATATGGCAAAGTCTAGATGTGCAAAGGTAGAGACAAAGACTACAGACTAAACAGACTAAAGGCTGTAATTAAAGCAAAAGGTGGTTGAACAAAATACTGACACAAGGGGTGATCTTTTTTCCAACTCAGTGATTCTGTTTTTTTTGTTTGTTTTTTTTCTGACATGTTGGTGTTATATCTTTCACTTGGATGTTATAAGTTCCACTGAACTAATACAGCTGGATAAAACAAAAACTGTGTCCTTCTTCATTTTCCAAGGCTGATTTCATAGCTTGTATCCTGAATACAATTAAAAATCACAATTAAATCCCATTTCCACCATTGACAAACGTTAAAAATATTAATATTTTACTGTATATTCACTTTAATATACAGTAAGTGATTTTAATTTTACGTCACACATCAGTTTCCAAGATTGTTTGAATGTGATCTTCATGTGACAAAAAGTTGAGTTTTTAAAATAAATAATGTTTTAAATAAAAAAATCAACCACTGACTGCCTGAATTACCTCAAGTTGAAGAAACACCAATATACTGTATTTCACTTTTTTTATACTGAATGAAAGATGTATAACGATCAGAAAAGATGTAGAAATGGTGCAGTATGTGTGATTTGATTAAATCAACACCATGTGCTGGTTTCTAAAGGAAATCATTCGGTGTTTTCTGTGTGGTTCAGATCGAGGTGATTCATGACTATCAGACGGCCAGCTCTCTCCCATACAGTATAGATGGAGAAGACGGCACTGATCTGCTCAAACGGTGAGTCTGCTGTCTGACACTGTCTGTTTAAATGACACACTGATGTCTGATGACCCTGGGGAATGTGTGTGACTCTAGACATGTGATGAAGGAGCTGATCGAGACCGAGAGGATCTATGTGGAGGAGCTGCTGGCAGTGCTCCTGGTAAGATGACCTTCATTTTTCTGAATGTGGCAGTGAAGATCGAGCGTAAAGCTGAGGTGTTGATGTTGTGGATTTGTTTATGATCTCTCTCACTCTATTTGTCTGGATTTGAAGGGCTACAGGGCTGAAATGGACAATCCGTCTCTTGCTCCGCTCCTGCCAACAAGTCTTCGCAACAAGAGAGATGTGCTGTTTGGAAACTTGCCTGATATCTACAACTTCCATAGCAGGCAAGGCCACACACAGAGAACTTCATAACGCTGCTAACAGCAAGGAGCAAAATGTAAACAATAGCTTCAGACCGAAATACGATTCTGTTTCCTGTGAGATAAAGCGGCAAATCCTCAGCCTCGGAAATTCAGACACAACTGCACACTCACAGTTTTGACTTCAAGACACCTTCCGAAAACATCTTATTTTAATAAAACGTATCGGTTTGTGCAGCTGTGTTTGCCAGTGGCTTTGAAACCTGTCTTGACTGCTGGGTCTTCATCCCCGGGTGAGGCAAATTGCCAAATTGGTTGACTGCAGGAAGCCGTTACGCCAATTAAAGCACTTTAATTACAGCTAAATGTCTGTTGGTCAAATAAGGATTTGATTAAGCCAATGAGAGCTCAGCTGGAAGGGAGTGTGTCAGCAGAGCGGGGGTTTTGATAGACAACTGTGTGACCTCTCACTGTGTCAGTCAGTCTTATCTATTACAGAGACGGAAAAAGGCATAGTACTACTTGGAATTAAGGAACTGAAATAGTTGCTGAACTAATTATGCATACTAGATATTGTGCATACTGGATTTGTACAGCACATACTATAAGTATATATGTTTACACATCATATATGTATAGTTTTGTACTTCAGATTAGATTTCATACATACTAATTTAAAGTGAAAAAAAGTGAAAGTGACGTGACATGTAGCCCAAGTATGGAGTCCCATACTCAGAATTTGTGCTCTGCATTTAACCCATCTAAGTGCACACACACACACACACACACACACACAGCAGTGAGTTGCTCAAGGGTCTCACCTCAGTCATGGTATTAAATCTCTTTTTTTATGCTTAAAACAAGAAAGCATTTATTTATTTATTATTTTTGTTTTGTTTTGTTTTGCTGTATAAATGCAGTAGGAAAGACAATAATAAGATGTTAAAACATGGCTAATTATATAATCACTAGAATGTCACTAGAATTTTTTTAAAAAACATTAATACTTTTATTCAGCAAGAATGCATTAAATTGATTGAAAGTGACAGTAAAGACATGTATAATTATATTCTAATTGTAAGACATGTAAAAATTATATTTCAAATAAACGCTGTTCTTTTGAACTTTCTATTCATCAAAGAATCCTGAAAAAAATGTATTACAGTTTCCACAAAAATATTAAGTGTTTTCAACATTGATAATGAGAAATGTTTTTTGAGCATCAAATCAGCATATTAGAAGGATTTTTTTTTAAATTCAGCTTTGCTGTTACAGGAATAAGTGACATTTTAAAATATATTGAAATGGAAAACAGTTCTTTTAAACTGTAATAATATTTCACATTATTTCTGTTTTTAATTTTGAATGACAGTGTACTTGCACTTGTTTGAACTTGTGTCTTCTGTCCTCCAGTGTCTTCCTACAGGATTTGGAAAGCTGTATGGAGAGCCCTGAGGCAGTAGGGGCATGCTTTCTGGAAAGGGTGAGGAACTTTAAAACACCATATGAGACTGATTTCGGGTTACTGTTTATGTCTTTCCAATTCTTTTTTTTTTTTTTTCACAAAACATATCTAACATGAAATATCTGTCTGTTTTCAGAAAGACCATTTCCATTTATATGAATGTTACTGTCAGAACAAGCCTCGATCTGATTCCTTATGGAGGCAGTTCTCGGACTGCCTGTTCTTTCAGGTATCAAAAACCTTCTCCATCTATAAAAAATACTTGCAGCACACTGGCATGCATCTAGAAAGAGCTCTGAGATGTGTCCTGTGTGTTTCAGGAGTGCCAAAAGAAGCTGGAACACAAACTTGCTCTTGACTCATACCTGCTGAAACCAGTCCAGCGCCTTACAAAGTATCAGCTCCTATTAAAGGTGCGAGCTTCATCTGAATACAAATCTGCATTTAGGGTGTTTTCATATAAAATGATGTATCTTTTAACATTTTAATTTTAATATTTCATATTATATATCTTTTGGTGCCAAGTCCGTTTGTTCAGGAAATCACACCTGAGTATGCTTGAAAAGGTCTGGGATATGGTTCATGTGGACTGCAGTATGGTTTGCATTTGGTTTTATATCACAATGCAACCTGTGGAACCTTATTTCTGCAACAGAAGAAAAATATAAAAGAGTTAATGCCTCAAAATTCAGGCGATGCAGACCTTTTTTTTCTCAGAATTGCGAGTTTATATCTTGCAATTGCGAGTTTTCTGCATGCAGAATTGTGAGAGAAGTAAACTTACAATTTAGAGAAAAAAGTCAAACTTGTAAGATGTAAAGGGGACGGGGAAAAAAACAATTGTGAGAAAAAAGTCAGATTTGCGGGATATAAACTTGCAATTCTGTAAAAAGTCTAAGAGATGTAAATTCACAGTTATGAGTTCATAACTTGGAATTGCATTATATAAATTTAAAATTATAAGGAAAAAAGTCACAACTGTGAGATAAAAAGTTTTACATTTTTATTTTGTTGTTGTAAATAAGCTTCCATAGCAACTTTGCGTGATTTTACTCCATAAATGTTTTTTTCTGTAGGAATATTTTTGTCCATTAAATCAGAGGAATTGTATGTGTGTTTGAGAATAGGAGCTTCTGAAGTACAGCTCAGGGTGTGAGAGAGTTTCTGAGCTGCAGGGGGCGCTAGAGGCCATGCTGGACTTGCTGAAGTCAGTCAATGACTCAATGCACCAGATTGCCATCACTGGATATGAGGTGACATTTTTACCAACTTTAAAGTGAGTGTGTGTTTGAGAGACTCTGCGTGTCTGTGTGTGTGAATGCGTAGTTAGTTAACATGTTGTATGTTGCAGGGGGATCTCAGCAATCTGGGCCGCGTGCTAATGCAAGGCTCCTTCAGCGTGTGGATTAGTCATAAGAAGGGTCCGACCCGCGTGAAGGAGCTGGCCCGCTTCAAGCCCATGCAGAGACACCTGTTCCTGCATGAGCACGCGCTCCTCTTCTGCAAGCGTCGAGAGGAACATGGAGAGAACGCTGACAAAACTCCTTCCTACAGCTTCAAGCACTGTCTTAAGGTACGACACACACTTCCTGCAGTGAGCACATATACAATCTCAGAAAACCCTGCCAGCATCACATGTGGCTGCATCGTTGTATGTCAGCCTGTTTACTCATGATAACATTTCCTTCCTTCTTTTTAAAACGTGGTGCTACATCACAGGATGTGACAGGATATGACATGTTTATATAGCAGGTAGATGTGTGTTTTCAGAATCGCATGTTTTTTTCCATCTGTGAGAATAAAATGCTGTTTATGCCGGCAGATGAGTGCAGTCGGCATTACGGAGAACGTCAAAGGAGATGTGAAGAAGTTTGAAATCTGGTACAGTGGCAGAGAGGAAGTCTATGTGATACAGGTGAGAAAGCTTAAAGGGACAGTTCATCCAAAAATGAATGTAATAGCGATTCTTCTCAACTCATTTTCAGAGACGGTATTTCAGTTTGATGCATCAAACCACAAATTTTACAGCTGTTACACTTGATTTTTCTAAATGCAAATTAATGAAACTTAGAGAACTATATACACATTTGTTAAGTTTCAAATATAAACATGATTCAGAGTCAAAAGAGCATCTCTAACAGTGTAATATTCAGATATTGACATATTATGTGACTTTCATTATATATTTCTCATTCAAATATATAAAAATAAACAATAAAATAAATACAAAAACTAAACTAAATTAATAAATTAAAGAACTTGTAAATTCAAAGTACATAAAAAATGTAAACATCTTAAACATGCAAAAATTCTCAGTATTTAGAAAGAAAAATAATAAGAAAAATATTATAACCTTATTATTATTATGGCTTCAGCCATGAAGTTTCTGTCAGCAGCTGTATTTCATAAAGGACATAAAATGCTCAATTGTAAAGAATGTCTCAGGCTGCTCTTTACTATACAATTAAAGTAAAAGTTACAAAAAAAATGAAGTACAATAAATAAATAAACTATATATATATACACACATTCACCACTGTTATGCAAAAACTTCTCATAGTCACCCACAGTGGAAGTGAAGATTGCTTGGCTGAACGAGATCAGAAAGATCCTGACCAACCAGCAGAAACAACTCAAAGGTCTCAATACATTTCCCATGATTAAATGTCACTATTATTCCTGCACAAGTACTTTGAGTAATGTGTGATCTTCTCTCATTGGTCCAGAAGGGTTGTGTCACTCTGCTGCAGTCTCAGAGCAGATGCAGATGTCTCCTCCTCTCTCAGTGAGGTAAGAATCCACTAGTGTACAGATCACTGTCCGTGAGCCCTTCTTTAATCCCTGATCCAACCCTCATATTCAACACTCACCGATCACTCTTTCTCTCCTTGACCCTTTGGCTTAGACCAGCTTTTTGCTGCTTTTAGCTGTTAGATCTCTCACATGACACTTCCCTTGCAGAATCCCGCCAATTACTTCAGTACTCTCCCTGCTTTTACAGTCCCCGCTTTGTGTAAGCACGGTCCAAAATTAACTCATTTTTAATTATATGTAACTTTGTTAACTAAGAAAATTTACCAGTCATAAATATACAGGTGATACAAAAGATTTCTACTTCAGATCAATTCTGTTTCTGTTGAACTTCCTTTTAAACAAAGAATTCTACAGAAAGAAAGAAAGAAAGAAAAAGAAAGAAAGAAAAACATTACTTTGAGAGAAATCAGAATATTATTATGATTTCTGAAGGATCATGTGACACTGAAGACCGGCGTAATGACTGCTGAAAATTCAGCTTTGCCGTCACTAAATAAATAAAGAATATTTTAAAATATATTAAAATATAAAAATATAATATACAGATATATAGATAATATATACAGTGTGTATATACGTATATATATATATATATATATATATACAGATATTTTCTTTAGTAGGCAGTTTATGATTTATATGTCTTTAGATTTTAAAGTATTAAGATTTTAATTATGTCATATCAGTGAGGGTCAGGTTATAATTATTAAAATTTTACTTCAAGCATGTAATGTTGCAGTCTCATTTGGAAAGTGTTAATTTTGGACCCACGGATAAGCCATATTACTTGTATTTGCATATATGGAACCCATACACATTCAGGATGACCCATTTTAACAAATCAATTAAGTAAAAGTGCTTAATTAAGTAAAAGTGTATGAAAATTTTTCTGATGATAATGAGGGGAATGAAGCCGCTGTGTGTGGTTGCCTGTCCTCCCGCAGGGCCGTGCGGCCTTCCGGTGGCGTTCTTAAGGGCTGCCTGCCCCGTCTGGACCTTGTGTCCCTGTCGGGGGGCGTGTGTGTGTGCCTGCGCGCTCGGAGCCCATGCCTCACTCGCCCCTCCCAGCGACTGTGACGCTCAGTGGTAAATCAGGCGCTCCAATCTCTGCTCCGTCACATACAGGGCTGCTATGGCCACTCTGTAACCACCATCGCCGTCCCCTTCATACACACCCCACCTCCCCGATCTCAACAGCAGTACCCTTATCATTAACATAACAGGCAGATGCTTTGCCAGCATCTCTGCATCTGTTTTGCATGACATGCAAACAAAAGCAAACACCAGAAGAGTTTGGTTTGACGCCATTGTTTTGGCTGTTAAGCAGCGCTTTGAAGACGGGCCTTATTTTGAGATCAAGACAAATATGATAAAGTGGTTGTAACTGGCTCAGCCTGTTGAGTCGTATGTTGACAAATCAAGACTGTATCACCTTATTTTTGCTCCATTTCCTTATCAGCACGTCTCTATGCTGTTATAAAAGAGTCATTTGCCTTGCAAGCCTGAAATTACCGCCATCTGTCCATATCTGCCAGCTTCTTACATGGTTTGTGCTGAGCTGATGGTTGGTTTGGCTCCTGTTTTATGACTAAGAGATGGTGTATGTGTGAATAATTGTTTATTTACTTCATGCTCTGCTCTTGTCCCACAGCAAACAGCAAAGAGCGTCAGTCAGCTCAGAGGGGACTGAGTCAAGCCACAGCAGTCCAGACCCGTTCAGTTGCTCAACCCAGCACCAGCACAACAGATGCAGTGAGTGTTACACACACAAACAGCATATATTACACACCTAATCTCTGTTTAAGTATGCAAATGTAGAATGTGTTAGGCCAAAACCATGCACGTGTGGTCTTAATGTACATAGTTAATTTTCAATAGAAATTTTGTCTTAAACTGAACTGTTAAAAGACCAAACATGGACTCTTGAAGTGTATTTATGCATTTGCTTGGTGTATCTTGGAAGCAGGAAAATAACAAGTATGATGAAACAAGATTGTTTTTGGGTTATACTGTATCATTCACACATTAGCATTATTATCATTGATATACACTGCATATATACATATATGTACAACATATATATATATACACTACCGTAAAAGTTTGGGGCAAGTACGATTTTTTTTAAGGAATTAATTATTTTATTTTGCAAGGATGCATAAAATTTTTCAAAAGTGACAGTAAAGACTTTTACATTGTTACAAAGATATTTTGTAACATAACTGTTTTGAATAAATTCTTTCCTTTTCTTTCCTTGAGCAGCAAATCAGCATATTAGAATGATTTTTGAAGGATCATGTGACACTGAAGACTGGGGTAATGATGCTGAAGTTTCAACTTTGCCATCACAGGAATAAGTGTCTTTATCAAATATATTAAAATAGAAAATAAATGGTAAAAATATTTTACAATATTATTATTTAATATATAATATTATTACAATATTAATATTTGACTGTTTTTACTGTATTTTAGATTTTAGCTTATTTTTAAGAGACTTATTTTAAAAGCATTAAAAACATTTTAATGGTAGTTTGTTTATATATGTGGTACATGTTATTAAGTATTAATAATTTATATTAAAATAATAATTATTATTTATATTATTGTTTTACCTATTAAAACCACAAACAACCCCTTTTCATCATATTTGTTGTGTGTGTATATTTCCTCTTAATTATGGTATTTAAAGTTATAAATTATTGAGATTTTTCCTGTGAATTTACTAATTGTTTTGGTTGAGACTATGTGGTAGTTTCTGCCGTTTCTATGAGAAATCACTCTCGAAGTCTTGAGGTTTTTGATACCAGAAGATAGAGACAATGAAGCCGAGAAACTCTGCAGAGAATCTCTCGAGTCTGTGTCTGCACACTCTTTATATAGTTTTTCCTCAAGGTGTGTTTAACACGTTTCATACACAGTCCTTCTACCCCCATGCAATGTACACATTTTACTCTCCTGCAGTTCTCCATACACACAGGAAACATATGATCATAATAGTAGAATAACTTGATTACTCACCTGCAGGCTTCTTTACACACAAGAAACACATGATCATAATAGTAGATTACAAACATGGCTATATTCACATTGATTATACAGCATAACTGTTAATGGACAGGTAAAGAAACCCACAAATGACATGACAGTATTGCCACACGTGTAATTGCCACTCTGTTTTGGGCCTTAGATACACTTACCAACATATAAACACACATTTGCACACATGCCTGTACAAAGCTGTGTTGCTGAAGTGTAATGCTTGCTGTTCAAAATAGCCAACACACATTCATGTTTCTATTGTAAAACCATTATCCCTGTCACCACAAACTTCAAGGCAAAGCCACACACTCAGTAAACATTAAAGAGCATGTGATTTCTCCAAGCACATACATGATCTCTGAAGTATTTCATGATCTGAATGTATTTCATCAATCAGAATGTAAGGATTTACACTGAAACATGCATGCGGTGTGTTTGTGGTAGGCTGGCCGGGCACACCTTATTCTGTAGGTATCTGTGAAGGTCTGGAGGACTGGAGTGGAGCAAACAGCCTCTCTAACCCGTCTGACACTGAGGAGGAGGAGGAGGCTGCCCGTTTGGTGAGAGACGAACATCCCACACTCACTCAGTCACTTATATAAGTTGCGGGCGACACTTTTTTTTTTTTTTACTTGTTCAACTGTTTGTTTTAGGTTGCTGGCAGATACAGGGCCTTCGTCGAGTGGCGTAAAAATGGGACAGATAACTTCATTATTAAGTGTGGTGATGTCATACAACTACAGCATGAGGAAAATGATGGCCATTGGTGAGTGATGTGCATGAAAATAAAAGAATATAAAGGGATATTCTGGGAGAAATTAAAGGGATAGTTCATTCAGAAATGAAATTCTGTCATTTACACCCTCATGTTGTTCCAAACTTCTGTGGCTTTATATGACTTAACATAAAAAAGGCATTTTGAGAAATGTCTCAGTGGTACAATTGGAATTCAATGGTAACCAGAATTATTTGGCTACCAAAATATCTTCTTTGTGTTCCACTGAAGAAAGAAAAGTGATACAGGTTTGGAAGAATATGATGATTGATAGATATTTTCATTTTTGGGTGAACTATCCCTTTAAGTTTGACAGCATCTGACAGCATGATTTTGATACCCTTAATGTTTTTTTTTGTTTGTTTTTTTAATTGAAGTGTTATGGGAAATATTAGTCCCATATCAGAAAGAACAACTTTACCAGGACTGGGCAAAATTCAGAATTAGATCCCTTTCAAATGCACGGGTTGATTTGATAGTTTAAAAATGCTTTTATATATATATATATATATGCATGCTTATACTTCTACACCATCCATAGACTTTTACACAGTTATTGAACTGAACGGGATCAACACTGAGCTTACTGGAGCTGAATAATCACACTATTGCTTTTTTAGAGCTGCTTTACAGCAGAATTGAGATGTTTTATGAAGCTGGCATCACTGATTCTGTTACTTTCCTGTTTAATAATGTGAAGCTGCTTCGAAACAGTATCTGTTGTAGGCCTATAAAGCGCAATACAAATAAAGGTGACTTGACTTTCATTATGAGTGAACTTTTTTTCTGGTGGTACCTATAGGTAAATTTAACCAGATTATTTCATTAAAATGCATTAGTTCAACAACTCAAATTTAATGGCACTAAAGTGGATTTAGATATTGGTTTGGTGTAAATCAGTATAGTTGTGTACTGTCACAGGCTGGTGAAGAATCTGAGTCGCAGACAGGAAGGCCGTATCCCTACTGCCAATCTGCAGGGCATGCTGGGGGAAAGCCTGAAGAATCACTCCAACCGGCTTGGAGGTGAGAGTCCATTTGGACATCCACTGCCTTTTTAGAGTAGTTCCCTGAAGTTTCCTTGTTGCATAAAATCCATACTGCCGTATCTTCTCTGCAGACCCAGGGAATCGTAAGGCGCGGAAGCTCAGCTCGCCGTGAAGGAATGGCTCAGTGCTATATTGGACCTTTAACATTCACACTTGGTAGCTCAGACTGTATGTGACTACATGGATTCAGTCCTGACCAGCAGGATTGTGTTCCAGATGTTTTGTACTGATCCTCTTTGACAGATGCTACCAAAATGCAAAAGACAAATTGTTTTACATCTTACAAGAGATCTCCACCATTTCAGAAAACCCAGAGAGCGCTTTTAAACATCTGTCCTCTGCCTAAACACACTTCAGTTCTCCTGACTAGGTGAAGCCTAGAACATTCTGACTCTGAGATTGTCCCAGTAGACTTCAGAGTTGTTTTTAATGAATCAAGGCCCATCAAAAGGCCCCTTCGTTGCTGTCTTCACGGTTAACTCCCAGAAGACCTATGAAAACATCCTGCTCGTAAAGGACCTGAATTTTTTAACTGTTTGTGCTGTTATTTATCTTGTACTGTTACTGTTATATTTATCCTCAATCTGAGCTCTTCCTGAGAGCTTCAGTGCCAAATCATGCAGTGCCATAATGCCTGTTTTCCCACTTTTATTTTACTTTGCTCAGTAGTGCACTAGTTACCTCAAAAAATATTTAAAAGCACTTTATTCAGGTCACATAAATATGAAAACATCCTGCTCGTAAAGGACCTGAATTTTTTAACTGTTTGTGCTGTTATTTATCTTGTACTGTTACTGTTATATTTATCCTCAATCTGAGCTCTTCCTGAGAGCTTCAGTGCCAAATCATGCAGTGCCATAATGCCTGTTTTCCCACTTTTATTTAATACAGACTTTGCTCAGTAGTGCACTAGTTACCTCAAAAAATATTTAAAAGCACTTTATTCAGGTCACATCAATTTGTGGCTCTTTGTGTCTTTCTACAGCTTTAAACCGGATGAATTTTGCATGCCGTAAATTCTTACCTCTCTTATTTAGTAAAATTCTCTTGTCAGGCACTTTACATGCAGAATCTACTCTGCCAGCTTGAAGACCTGGGGGCCGTCATGTAAAAGTTGACTTTGGAGCCACAAGTTATGAGGGGGTGAGCAGAGCGCATGTGTGTTGAAATCTGCGAAATCAGAGCCGTGTTGATGGAGGTTTCTTATTAAGGGAGATCATACAGAAAACATTAAATATACCCTCTATTTAGAATGCTTAATTAAATATTAATTGCAGACTTATATGAATTTACTACATTAAATCAGGCCTACAGTTGGAGGGCTGACTTTGATATACCAGCGTTTGAAGTGGAAATAAGCTGTGTAGCAGCAGGAGACGCTGTGCAGTACATATCTCTTATGTTATTAATTTAGCTATGAAGTTGTTCCCTTCCAGCGTGGAGCTCCAGCCACCCACTCAAAATCAAGCCACGTAAAGGACACAACTTCCTGAAAACTGTGCTGTTTTAGCCATATATACTGTCAGCTTTGCATATTTATATGCTTATTCATGTCCACTTACCAAACGTCCAACACATTGAATATCTGGGATTCAAAATTTCATGATCATTAGTTTTTCCATCATGTTCATGTTAATTTTTCAATTCAATTTTTCACTCATAAATAATGCAAAAGAGAAGCATTTTCACTAATGGTCTCAGATTTTTGGACCCCAATATATCTAATAGCATTTAACCCTGATTTTTGTTTTTGTATGTTTTTTGGGACTGGCTTTTAAATGATTCTTTTTGAAGGAATGTACTGTATCTGTGTTGACTGTTGTATTGTAACAATATTTAAATTTGTACAGCCTATTGAAAATTAAGAAATACATTTTTTAATAAAACTATTTATGTCAGACTCTGTTCCATGTCTCGTGTTGTGTTTTCCTCCCCCACGTGCTCCAGGTTGATTATTATGCCCATATTTGTTTTTTCCTGTTCCTGTCCTTGTTTAGTTCATTTGTTCCCAGGTGTGTCCCATTAGTTTCTGTGTATTTAAAGTGTGTTCTGCCCCTTGTTTCCCGTCCGCTGTTATATGTCATTTTGTGTCCTCAGTGATTACCTGTGTTCCCTGCTTTACGTTCATTAAAGACTTTGGAATTTGCTTTACTCCTCGTCTCCTCGCTCCTTCGTTCCCGTTCTCCCAGTGTGAATCGTGACCGAACAGCAGACCAAAACAGTAAGCGGCGCCCCTTCTCCCGTGTTTTTGTTTTTGTTTTGAATAGTCTTTTGTTTTCCCGTTTTTCTCCCCACAGTATGAGGACCGCCCTGCTGTCAAGTGTGCCGGCCACGCCGTTGTCAAGCCCGCCGGCCACCCCTGAGCTCGTTCCAGGTTCCGGTTTAAAGGACAGCACACTTGGTGTTGCTTGAGGATCCTGCCTTAAAGAGAGTCATACATTTGCTGAGAATAACAAAACGCTCTAAATATGGTTTGAGCGTGCTCTATGCAAATTACTAATGTCGGGCACTCTGTGTCAGACTCTGTTCCATGTCTTGTGTTATGTTTTCCTCCCCCACGTGCTCCAGTTTGATTATTATGCCCATATTTGGTTTTTCTTGTTCCTGTTCCTATTTAGTTCTATTAGTTCCAGCTGTGTTAAATTAGTTACTGTGTATTTAAAGTGTGTTATGCCCCTCGTTTCCCATCCGCTGTTATATGTTTTTTTGTGTTCTCGGTGATTTCCCGTGTTCCCAGCTTTGTGTTTATTAAAGTCTTTGGAATTTGCTTTACTCCTCGTCTCCTCGCTCCTTCGTTCCCGTTCTCCCAGTGTGAATCGTGACCGAACAGCAGACCAAAACAGTAAGCGGCGCCCCTTCTCCCGTGTTTTTGTTTTTGTTTTGAATAGTCTTTTGTTTTCCCGTTTTTCTCCCCACAGTATGAGGACCGCCCCGTTGTCAAGCCCGCCGGCCACCCCTGAGCTCGTTCCAGTGTCAGCTCCAGCCCCAGAGCTCGCTCCTGTGTCGGCTTCAGCCCCAGAGCTCGCTCTAGTGAGGGCTCTTGTCCCTGAGTCTAGCCCAGTGAGGGCTCCTGTTCCCGATTTTAGCCCACGGAGGGCTCCTGTTCTCGAGTTAAGCCCACAGAGGGCTCCTGTTCCCGAGTTTAGCCCACGGAGGGCTCCTGTCCCCGAGTTTAGCCCAGTGAGGGCTCCTGTGCCCGAGTCTAGCCCAGTGAGGGCTCCTGTAAACAGATGCCTGTAAACCTCTCCAAGAATTTTGGGGGGGGGGTAGTAGGGCTTCAGCCGTGGCCTCGGAGGCTGCTCCGCCATGGCCTCCTGGACTGTCTGATCCGCCATGGCCTCCTGGATTGCCTGATCCGCCATGGTTCCTCGAGCTGCCTGCTCCACCATGGTGACCCGAACGGGTATCGCTCTGGAGGCCCACCGTCCCGTGTCTGTCCTGAGGGACCTCCAGAGTGCCCCCCCCCTCCCCGTTGGATGCTTTGTGGCGCGAGGACGCGCCTTCCGAGAGGGGGGAGTAATGTCAGACTCTGTTCCATGTCTCGTGTTGTGTTTTCCTCCCCCACGTGCTCCAGTTTGATTATTATGCCCATATTTGGTTTTTCTTGTTCCTGTCCCTGTCCCTGTTTAGTTCATTTGTTCCCAGGTGTGTCCCATTAGTTTCTGTGTATTTAAAGTGTGTTCTGCACCTCGTTTCCCGTCCGTTGTTATATGTAATTTTGTGTCCTCAGTGATTACCTGTGTTCCCTACTTTACGTTCATTAAAGACTTTGGAATTTGCTTTACTCCTCGTCTCCTTGCTCCTTCGTTCCCGTTCTCCCATTGTGAATCGTGACAATTTAATAGTAAATAATTTGTACCTAAAATATATACTTAGTATTATTATTTAACTACTTTAGTGTTCAAAAGTTTGAGGACGGTAAGATTTTTTTAATGTCTGCTCTTCTGCTCACCAAGGCTGCATTTATTTGATCACAAATACAGTAAAAACAGTGAAATATTATTACAATTTATTTTTCTGTTTTAATATATTTTAAAATGTAATTTATTCATGTGATGCAAAGCTGAATTTTCACCATCATTACGCCAGTCTTCAGTGTCACATGATCTTTCAGAAATCATTCTACGCTGATTTCCTGCTCAAGAAATATTTCTTATTATCAATGTTGAAAACAGTTGTGCTGCTTAATATATTTTTGGAAAGTTAAATTTTTTCAGGATTTTTGATGAATAGAAAGTTCAAATTTCATCAATTTAATGCATTTTTTAAAATGAAATACACATTTCTTTAAAAAAGAAAAAATAGCTGACCCCAAATCAGATAATAATGATTTTTTAAAAAGTTTAATTTATAAGAACAAGATTTTTAGGATAAGACATTTTAGAGTCAAAGCCACATATACATCATAAACATCAGGGCCCGTATTCACAAAACATCTTAAGGCTAAAAGTAGCTCATAACTCGCTGATTTAGGAGAAAATCTTAAAAAATAATGGCCGTGACAGTCCTAAATGTATTATATAAAAATATTGTATGCTTTTTTTCATTAACCAATTGGGCAAGAAGTAACAGCTCTTGCGTCCAGTTTGGTTTTCTTTTTTGTTTGCATGTCTTACTATCAGCCATGATTATTCTACTCTGTTAATTAAAAGGCTGTTTATATGCATATTCACTATTTTTTTTTACAAGAAGCAATACAGGCTGACAATTAGCTGAATATATATACTGTATATTATATTGTTTAATTAGTGACACTTAGCCTGCATTTTAACATCTTTATTTGAATGTGGCAATTAGCAGTTTTATTTTAAAACCTTTATTTGAATATGGCAACATAATACTGTGCTCTTAAATATTGCTATGAATAAATCTCTGACAGAGACCATCAGCCAATCACTGTATGCATAGTTAGTAAGCAAGCTGACATCATCCATAGCAACGAGGTCAACCCCGCCCTTTCTCTTAGCTTAAGACTTCTCTATATTCCGTAGTAAATGCTTGTCTCAGCAGCTTTGTGAATAGGTTTTAAGAGAAAACTCTAAGCTAAAAACTTTGACTTCTATTTAAGAGAACTCTTAGTGGTAAGATAAAATGTTTTGTGAATACGGGCCCAGTTCTGTTGTTATCTCCCAGAGACTGGCCTCAAATGATGAAAGGATCTTACGGGCAAGATGTGAGTGATCTGATGCCTCCAGTGTTTATGGGTAAGACCCAGTGATTTTCAGAACTAGGTCCCGACTCACAAGTCTTTTAAAGAACGCTGTTGAAATCTTAAGTAAGTTTCTAGTGTCAGATATTTTCAGTCATCCCCCTCACGTTCCTCCAGTTTTCCCTCTGAAGGCAGTGGCAGTTCAAAGCTTAAGGGCTACATTTTTTTTCTTTCTGTCTGAATGAGAGATTGAGTTCTCAGTCAAGAAACCTTAGCAGGTTCTAACCATGTAGCAAGACAGTATCTTGCTTAAAGGGGTCATATGATGCTGCTAAAAAGAACATTATTTCGTGAACATTTGGGGGCTTTATGCAAATCTTCCCACATAGTGAGGTAGGTATGTGGGGGCGTGTTCGAACGAGCCGTTTTAGGTAGGTGTGGCTAACTCTTAACTTTTATAAAGAATATCTCTTTGGATTTGAGACTTTAGTCTTTGCAACTTTACAGATCTTCTTTATGCACCAAGAGCTTGTAACACTCTAAAGAGAAAGGAAAAAATGAAATCGCATCATATGACCCCTTTAATAACATACTTGCTTTCTTTAAACCACAGGAGAAAACAGCAGGTGTCTATGGATTATTAAATGTCCTTATGGGACAGTGAAAGTACTAAGTCATGTATAGATGATGAAATGCTGCACAGGGTTTATTGATGGAATCTCATTGGCCAGCCAGGTCTTAAGGGGCGGAGCATGACTACAGTCTGTTACAATGGGATCAGTGGATTACGAACAATCTAACTGTATTTATGTCACTTCATTTAATTAAACAAGATCATCTTCTCTCTCCAGGTTTGACTACTCCATGTGTGCAGATGGCATTTTAAAATGAGAATTTAAGGTCACAGGTCCACATTTTTAAGCAGTACTCCCTTTGTAACTCTGATGATGTGCTGTATCCAACGATAATAGTTACCAACCTGGGTGTACACACTGTACTTCCCTTTCTTGGCACATTCTTCTCCCCAACTGACAATGCCTGTGAGGAACCAGGTGTTGTGGTAGCGCATGGCATGAGGTCCTCCGCTGTCCCCCTGACACGCGTCTTTAGGAGAATCTGAGTATCCAGCACAGAACATGAAGTATGTGATCAGGTCACTGCTGCTTTCCTTACAGACTGTTCTGTCGACATAAAGCAACTCAACCTTCTGTAAAGTCACTGCACTTCGGCCTTGGAAGCGCAGACAGCCCCAACCACTGACAGTAGCCAGAGATCCAGACTGCAGCAGTGAGTTGGAGAAGAGCATGGGTCCCAAGCAGATGGGACTTATTTGGGGTAAAACAGATGGGGCTATGCAGCCGCAACAAGGCAATGTCATGATTGTAGAGGCTTACTTTGGAGTCATAACGGGGATGTGAGATGAAACGGGTGATGTTCAGATTCTGTTCTGTGCCTTCAGTCTTGGAGACGTCATGCTCCCCTGTGAAACATACAGTAGTTGTTTAGTTTAATAATATTATTAATAACTGGTCTTGGATCTGTAAAAATGTCAGAAAAAAACATCTACAGATTCTTAAAGGGGTCATATGATGCGATTTCAAGTTTTCCTTTCTCTTTGGAGTGTTACAAATACAATGTATCATATTTATAATATATATCTAAATATTATTTCTTATAAATCTGACAAATTGTACTAAAAAAGTAAAAAACTTAATATTTTCTAAAAACAAGCCTTTGTAATCCCCTAACTTGCTTAAGGATGTTTAGATATTTTTACTGAAATACAAAAAATATTGATGAAGAAAGTAATAATGCTGTGTATGCTGTGATTACATTTAATACATATTCACTATTTGTTGTCATATTTTACATTTAAATAGATTTTAAATATATGTATTTTTATTTTTCATTTTTAATTATTTTATGTATTTAAATATTGGCGCCATACATCATTAATTTAATCAGTATTTCCTTGGCTGTTGTTCTGGTCTTACCAACTCTGATGTAGAAGGATCCATTCTGGCTTCCTAGACAGTGGGCTGCAGTAATGACCCATGACTGTTTGAGAATGGAGCCTCCACAGAACACCTGCTGTGTTGAGTGCGCCACCAGCGCTACCTAGAGAGCAGCAGTCAACTGGGATAAATGCATAGCCGCGGGAACGTATTTTGAGCTGGGGGGGGCATTCATTTTGTCAATGCAAGGTAGATGTTTAATATATGCGAATTTGCCATTGTACTATTTTATGGCTGATGTGTTTTAATTAAGATAATAAACCACAAACCGCAAGCCCCGGGCCCATATGCAAAAAATGTAATGGGCTCCAACTCGATTAACTTAACTTAGGCCCTATTGTTGATTTTTCGGAAGTAAATAAAGTTACGTGAATCGTGACTATTCACAAGCTGTTTTATTTAGGGTAGGCTATAGGCTAATGCTTGGAAATGTTGTTTAAAGTTTTCAAGTCCATTCATTATTTGTAGCACGCAAGCCACCTAATGCTGCATATGAATCTATTATATTTTCTTTTTAATATTTGCAGCACGAAATAAACATGAATATGTGAATGCATGTTGAAAAAAATCAGAACAACTTAATACAAACGAATGTCTCATGAATCGATCAATCAGAGTTTAAAAAAAAAAGAAAGAATGACGGATGCCACAGACTTTTCTTTTTTAGAGTAGGCCTATGGGTGGAATTTTCACATTATATAACATGATTTTATTATCTTAATTTTAACTTTATTCTTAAAATATTATGACATTAATTGTATTTATTTAGTTATTTTTAAACATGACACAAAATGCTGCCGTATAGGCTACTGAATGCAAACACAATTTGGGCACATCAGCCCCAAAAACAAACAAACAAAAAAATAATAATTAAATAGGCACAGAACACACAGAAGCGCTGTCTCGGCCGCGCGCCCGCGCGATCCCAGTTCTGCCTGCGCCTTAATTGTTAAATACACACACAGCTGTCAAAATGTCAATCGTGTGGAGTATCTCGCATAAATACAGTCGTTATGGCTTAAGGGAACGTAAACAGGTGGGTGAAAATCGGATATGTGTCAGTATATTATATTCATTCGGTCTTAAAGGGACAGCAGCCTAATTAAATACCTGTGTCTCATTAAAGGGGTCATATGATGTTGCTAAAAAGAACATTATTTGGTGTAATGAAATGTGTTTCT